AAAAACTGCTTTCTGAATATTTGCAACTGGCACAGCAGGATCTATCGACCAATCTATTTTTACATGCCATATATTTGTATCTTGCGCAAAGAAAGAAAATCAATGTGATAACGCTTACTACTATATTGCATTCTGTTAAACACATCCGATTCGTTCGCATTTTATCGTCTGCAACTTTCTTACGCGACATTCCTCATTGGTCAACAACCTGTTACTGATGAGAAACCGATGTTCGGTTTAGTCATAGGAAAGTTCTCGGCGATTGTTTGCGAGAAGAGAGCCGGTCGAACTGGGAAAACCGTTTGACAGTCAACTACTTGTCAGCTCACATCCGCGTCTTCGAATGGTGTCATCTTATCGTTCGTTAAACAGTTAGAAAAATATTGCCAGTACCGGTTGAAAAATCCAATACAAGTCGCAGCCAAGAAGTATGCTTGATGTAAGAGCTCGCCCATGTCTAGCGACAGTGAATGATTACTTTAACGGTTAATTAACGTTGCTTAATGGAGCACGTAAAGACTGATAGGGAGGAAGATTGAGAATCGTTTTAAATCGCTGTGATCGCAATATGACAACAATCGGACAATATTGCATATCTATGGCTTGTGTCATTTTTATTTCTTACTGTATAAGATTAATGGAACATCGAGTAAGGTCAGGAAAGGATAGGTCAATTTAAATCGACGTAGCCAACTCACTCACGATGTATTGGCATCGCATGATGTTAATGTTCGGGAGGAATTGCTTTAACTCGTGCAGTTATATATTTTGTAGTTTATATTACACTATTCAATCAAGTGTTTCAAGCATTTGAAAATTTTACGAATTTTAAATCAAATTTTAAGTAATTTAATTATAAGCAAAAATTTAGTTAAATATATTTAAAATTATATACTATCTTGATCTTATATATAAATGATTATATTGTTGATCAAGCATTTGTAATGCTGTTTATAAACGAGCAGTTTGCAGTAGAAACAAATAACTCGTGATGCTCTTGAATCATAAAATGGAATTCAACTTGTTAGCATACCATCGCTGCATAAAGTATGACACATGTGACCGATTATATCAGATCTTATAAGACTAGCATGATCAAACAATCACGTGTGAATCATTAGACTTACAGACCAACTTTACCAGTCCAAAGAGCTCATCTGTCATTAATTAAACCACAGGATATTATAAATAAAATCTCGTGATTTACATTTTTATCGCACTGTGCGCGGTCTTTTTTCCGGCTTATATTTCGCAAATCCATGCAAATTTATTTATGTCGGTGCTGTAATGAATTCACAAATAATAATGCTTTAAATATTTAGAAGTAATTATTTCCAGCCATCGTTGCACCCATGTTTACGAAAGATTGCACATACCTTAAGTCAAGGATATATGTTAATTAGGTATTTTCATGACGCTCGCATTTGAAGAGATATATCGCAGTCGATTCCTCCTGACATCAGGAGTAACCTCTGTCTACAATAGGACTTTCCATCTTTGATAGATATGCCGTTCGTGTGTTGCCATAATTAGAAAGTATAATCGACGCCGCGTGTTTATGGTGCTGCAGCAATCTTTGCGCTCGCAAAGTTCCTTGTATTAATTGACAATTTATTATGATAATCAACGATAGTATGAGTTAATGGATGCGCGCGCAAGCACACAAAACACACATATAGACACACACACACACACACACACACACACACACACACGAAGGTTCGTAAAATTGCAGACAATCTACGTATCTGCGAGGTTGCTCACGTTTTAGCTCTAATCTGCTTTCACGCTCCAACAATTATGCTCCGAGAGGTGCCTTTTTACATTCCATTGTAATAACAAACCACAAGAGTGTTATACTGAGGAATTTTTGTATTCAATTTCGCGTTATGTAACAATAATTGTCATGTAAAATAACTTCAGTGTAACATATTTTTTAACTGCCGATGAACAATGATTTCTATGTATATTAAGTTTAATATTTATGATTGATGTATTTTACAACTATTTATATATTTTTTAATACACGCAGTAATGCGCCAATTTTAATCATTTAAATATAATCGTATCGTAATTTTTTGTACTTGATTATACATACAATTCAGTCATTAATTTAATATATTTATTAAATATAATTTAATATATATTTGATTTATTTATTAACTCAATATACAATCATTTGAGAAAGTTGTTATATAATTTAAACAATTATCGAGCTTGAAAATTTACATCGTGTACATTGTGTCTTATCATTTATGGCTTATTTGCTTGATGGTCTTTTAAATACATAAGTACAGTAAAATAAGCATACTTTCACAATGATCTTGGATTTGCGCTGCATCTAAATATGCGCTTCACAATGAGGGCGCGGTAATAAATTAACAAGTCATTGGCAGACTTTCATAATAATGCGGGTTGGTTTTCTCTCGTGTAGATAAACTAATTAAGCCCGGAAGCGGAAATATAAAATACACATTGCATAAATTTTTAAAGGATTTTTCTGCGAGACATTCGCTGCTGGATACGTGAAATTTAATAATCGCCCCTATGCACGCGTAATCCACAAAATGCATACGAGAGTCGCACGCTTATGAGAAGAGGATTATACCCTGTGTTGAAACGTTCCCTCTGATTAAACGATTCAAGAAGAAAGAGAGAGATGATAGCATCACACACGACCCTCGAGGTAATAATTTACGCACTCTGTAAACCACTTATAATCAAAAGGTTGGAACGGACGCAAATCGATTCGTTTTGATAGAAAGATTCGATTGAAAAGTGCACGAACCCTCCATGGATAACCAGGAGATTAAAAAATATTGTCGACACGTGCGAAAAATGTTGATTTATAATTTTAATATTCGATTATTTTGCAAAATCTAATTTGGATTAGTATTTGTAGTTACATTGCATAGCGGCGATTACTAAAACGGAATTAAATTTATATATCTCGAACTTTGTTTCTAAAGTAACCATTTTCTGAAAATGCTATCATTAATATGATGAGAGTAATATTAAAAGAATCAAGTCATTATTTCGATAAAAAATTAAATACATGTGTTTTATTGATAAACGTGTTGTTATTAATAAATTGATCGATAAAATGTATCCTTACACATATCTTTAAAATAAAAAAGATAAAAAGTCTGTAAAAGATATCTATAAAAAAAAGAGAATAAATTAATTGTAAAATATTTGTTAGACCATATTGTATCGATGCATATAAATAATGCTATGGCAAGGCACGCTACTCAATATTTAAGGGTGCTAGCGTGAAAAAATATAATATTGCACGTGTTGTATAATTTTCTCACGAGTGTCATGCTTCAATAAGAGGACAGTAGCTCTGATAATTTGAGAATTTTGGGGGGATGAGCCACGTGTGTACATAAATGAATGTATACCATCGAGTTGGGCGAGAAACACTCTAAATTGCGTTTGCAATCGATAGGGCAAGTAATAAAAGAACAGACATAATTATTTCATGTAATTATATATTTTAAAGAAAGCAATTTATCGCTAAATTAATAATATCTAATCATACTTGAAAAATTAATCTGCAAATAATAATAATAATATGTCAAAGATTTTTTTCATATATATATTTATAGTTGTATAAATTAATTTTTAATAGATCAACTTTTAAAAATATATTAACGTTTTGAAAAATAATAAAAATGTCTTTTATATCTTATTTGAATAAAAATTGTAAATGAAATATTTTAATACATACATATACATATGATAAACAGGTCCGTTTAAATTGCATTTGCAATTTTCATATATTATAGCTTAGATCATCGCATAGAGTGCAGTAAAATGTAATCATTTTTAATAGCTCACGTTTAATAGCATTCTTCGCCCTGATTATTCATATTCGAACTCTGCATATTTCCCTTTGATTCACATCACATGTATTAACATGTCTAAAGCAGTTACGTGTCACACACTTTCTACTTACAATATTAAAGTGTCTCAACACTGCGGGAGACGTGATATTTTATCAGGGATATAATATGACGTGTATCCTGCGTCGACCGATGTGTTACGTGCGAAATACTTTCTTCTTTGTACCGAAGCTTCTCGCGACTTTTCCTTCTCCATCCGATTTCATTTCTTGTCATCGTATATTAATGCGTCATTTATTTATATCTATAAAAATAAACAGATGAAATTTTTTTATTATACGTGATATCGACTTGATTCCTATCCGATGATTTTTCTCTCTTCGATCCATAACCATTACAATATCTTGAGCGATCGTGGGATGAGATACAGGGGAGCATCTTTCGTCACGGACACTCGATCGGCAATCCATGTTCCAGGATGTAGTCGAGCCGTGTCTAAGTGGATTTCACGCTCGCGCGAATGCGAGAGTACGTGTATCATCGCATCATCGGGATGCGATTCCGTGCGTGCACGCAGGGGTTTTCCGTGTAAATGCGCGTGTTATTCATCCCTCTTACAAGCGTGTTGCAGACCTCTACGAGAGGTGGCGGCCGGACGGTCCCCTCGGCTTATCGTGACATTATTTATCCCCATATGTCGATTTATGGTCCCTCCATTAAGATCGGGTCTGTTAAACGCTGCGGGAGTTCTGCAATTCTGCAGTACCAGAAGGGAAATCGAGGTATTGTCTCATTTCCAGAGATGGAAGATCTTTGTCCTTTATCGCGCCCTTCGTTATGAGCTGGTGGATGAAATATTTGGTTGACTTCCGTTATGGTCTATCGCTCGGAAAGTTTTGAATGAAATTCCAGATAGAGCTTGAGAGACGAAACTTTGTTCAGAAGCGATGCAAGAAATTACACGAATTTATCGTACTCACAGCCCTAACAGCACACATCCTGAAGACGTTCAGAGAACATCCTGAGGATGTTCGAATGTCCTTTGGATATCCTTTGAATATCTTTCGAATATGTAGTGCTATTAGGGAGATTACGATCGAAACTACAAGTATACTTATTCATCACTGATCTGTATCTCTCTTCGTGTTACAGAGACACCTGGACAAAGGAAGCGATCTTGCTGAGGCGGCGAGCGCGAGCGGACTTCGCGAGCTTGCGAGATCCTTGAAGCAGCATCTACGAGGATTCGGCTCCCGCTTGGAAGATAGACGGGAGTACTTGGAGGACACGTCGAGATGCTGCCTCCTTCAGGATCGCGCTTACGAATGGGCGCAGGAGGCTCGTCTAGCAAGCGAGAGGAGGTCCCAGCAATTCTTGATGGCGAGGCCGCCTCTGCCACCCGAACACTTCAACGAGATGATGGCTTTGGCGGAGAAGCTCGGTAACGAAGTTCTCTTGGAGCAATGTCGTATCGCGAGGAACAAATGCGCGGAAGCCCTTGAGATCGCCAGGACTACGTCCGCCCCAGGAAGTCCCGCGAGAAGAAGGTCCTTCGCTGCTTCCGAGTCTACCTCCTGGGATGATGCTTTAGCAAAAAGTAAGATTTTCAAGAAAATGTCGAAGGTCATCATTTTTTTAATGTTCTCAATTTTTAAAATCATGTATCTTTGTAACTAAGTCTTAAATTAAAATTCTATTAAAGTGAACTTTACCTGAAATTAACTAAAAAAATGTAGTTTTGTTAATAATTTATTTTTACACGGCTTAATTTACGAAAAAGCTTTTATTTTCAATCGTTTATAATTCGAAAATTATTGGTGCCTCGACAGTTTCACTGAGGAAAAATTGTTTTCAAATCGCCTGAAGAATCTTCATTAACAAGTGGTAAGTAAGTCTGAGACATTCTGTATATAATTTGGAATTACGTGTTCTCCAGGGACATCCTGGGATGATAGCGATAGCAGTGCTTCGTACGCTTGTCCGATGGAAAGCGTTGGCTCAACTGGCAGCAGTGGTCGACCGGTGCTGGACAACATCGCCGAACTTCGGGAAAGTGCTGAACAACTCTTGGACTGCTCGCCACCACGAACACCTCCGCGAAGTCCGGCTCCGAGGAGGCTGGTGAAGCCACCGGTGAATTCGCATCTTCACAGATCAGCCAGCATCGCGCCAGGAATGAAGGCGAAAAAGTATTTTCCATTTTTTAATAATAAATGGATTTATGTTTGTAAATTACATATTAATTTTTGATACGTATAAAAAATTAATATTAATAAAAACTAATTGAGAATATAATAAAAATATCTTATAAATAGAATGATAAAAATATTAAGCATGTAATGTGTCTTACACGCGTGACATTTCACTACTGTAATAACATTGAAACGGTTTATTGTTCTTTCGTTTAATTTAATTTATTTTATGCCATCGTACTCATTATTATACGGTCGGAGTGCCATTAATGAAGAAGTTCACCTTGCAGAACAATACTGCTCATAATGAGGGAGATGATACAGACTGAACGAGACTACGTGAAGTCACTCGAGTACATAATAGAGGTAATTGTCATGTGTACATCATTATAGTTTATTCATAATTTTATTATTTATTCTCGCGTATACTAATACGTTTGAATTTTCTCGTGAAGAATTATATCCCGGAACTAGTGCGAGAAGACATTCCGCAAGCTCTTAGAGGACAAAGAAACGTAATCTTCGGGAATGTTGAGAAGATATACGAATTCCATAGTCAACACTTTCTACGTGAACTGGAGCAATGCGAGCAATCGCCTATGCTTGTGGGACAATGTTTTCTCAGACACGTAAGTATAATTATATCAATTCTTGAAGAATTGTAAAATATCAAAGAGATACTTTATCTAAAATGTCTTATAAATATTTTAATATGTTAATTAATATATGTGAATATTTTAATACAGGAGAAAAAGTTTTACCTCTACGCCTTGTACAATAAAAACAAACCAAATTCGGATTCATTAATGGCGGAATACGGCACAAGTTTCTTCAAACAGAAGCAACTAGAGTTGGGGGATAAAATGGACTTGGCTAGCTATTTATTGAAACCGGTCCAACGAATGGGAAAATATGCTTTGCTACTTCAGCAGCTAGTTAAAGCCGGCACAGATCTATCGGAACAATTGTCGGGCAAAGAAGAGAAGGAAGAAAAGGAGGATAGTATGAAACCGATAGTCGAAGGTGAACTCGATTTAAGGGCTGCTGAACAGATGGTGCGATTTCAACTTCGACATGGAAATGATCTTCTGGCAATGGATTCGCTTCGCGATTGTGATGTATGTTATATTTTTTTATAATTAGTAAATTAATTAGAACATAAGGAAATTAATAAAATCGAATTAATTATCTACTTTAATAATTAAATGAATACCTATATATATATATATATATATATATATATATATATTATAATCTTAAATCTATACATATGTATATACATAAATTGTAACATTATTTCGTAGGTAAACGTGAAAGAACAAGGCAGATTATTGCGGCAAAACGAGTTTTTAGTCTGGCAAGGAAAAGGCAAGAAGTGTCTGCGACAAGTCTTTTTGTTCGAAGATCTTATACTCTTTAGTAAGGCAAGAAGATTCCCTGATAGAAAGGTAAAAATTTTATGAATATCGTTTCACATATTTAATTGTACGCATATATGTTTTTTCTTATTTTATTAAATATTACTTATGTATATATATATTTTTCCAGAACCTTGATATTTACATATATAAACATAGCATTAAAACGACGGACATTGGCTTGACTGCCGTTATCGCGGATTCGCCCACAAAATTCGAGATCTGGTTCCGTAAAAGGAAACCGGGCGATACATATACGCTGCAGTGCGCAAGTGAAGACATCAAGAAAGCCTGGACCGAGGAGCTTAGCAACCTTTTGTGGAAACAGGCGCTTAAAAACAGAGGTAATTCTCTATCTTTGTTTTGTCAATTTTGAAACAAAAATTGTGACAATGAATTACACTCGATGATGTTTGACGTTTTTAGAAGTGCGCCTGGCGGAGATGTCGAGCATGGGCATTGGGAATAAACCATGTTTAGATATAAGGCCTAGCGCAGATCAGATTAACGATCGTTCTATCAGCGTAGCTCAACTTTCTAAGAGTAAGTATGACAATTTCGGGCTATCAAATATATCGATTATGCTGATGATCTCGAATATTAAAATGAAAATTTGAATTTTGCTCGCACAGCGCCCAGATTTAGAAACTCTATAGCGGTGTCGATGACGGAAGACTCCAGTCGCTGTAGCAGAAGACCGCACAGCGTAATTTCCGTTAGTTCATCCTCGAGTAGTGGCGGAAGTAGCGGTCCTCCTACGACGCTCAATCTTGGATTAGATACAAGTCCACGACCGCATCATCGTAGTACTACACTGAATAGCCAGTGTAGTGTTGGTGAGTATTACGCTGCAGTAATTTTTTGTTTAAAAAATTTGATACTAATATCGATTTATAATGCTAATATTTGTTCTGTAGAAAGTGGTATTATTGCTGATATTTCCATCGTGTCGGATGATGGGGGTGACAGCTCCGAAAGAAGTCCTTGGAATTCAACCTTGGAAAGCCCTACGTCTTTACCTACGACTTCGACTCCTCTGCAATCGCCAACTAGCGGAACGGCGGCAACAGTCACCCCGGCTTCTTCGACAGACACGAATCTCACATCTTATGACCAAGACATGTCTATTAATCTATGAACCTTTCTCAATATACAGAGAATATCGCAAAAAGGTGACTGTAATTGATTCACTTGCAAGTTTGTGTTATGATTACAGAGACGTAACGTATCGTCGTGACATATTTAATTAAGCATAATGAAATAATATTGTTGCACACGTATATTGAATACATCGCATTTTTGTGAGCAACTTATAATTTAATGCGAGAAAAAAATATAACGCCGCATGCAATCCGATAGGTCGCCGCATTACGCTTAACACGTGTGCCCAGCTACAGAACTTGTAATCGCATTACATATAAATGTAGATTATATTATCCTATAGTTACAGAAATGGTACTGAATTTTAACATTTAACTTTCAAGTGAATCTGTCTCTGTATAAATCTATCTTTTGATACACTTCGAAATTCACAGATCTACATGATCATATAGCTATCGAGCTATTACTTATGAAGCTCCATTGATAACTAGTTTCTGAAGTAATAGCAACATGTATTTTCTTATTCCGTCTCATTAATTTTATCAACGTGCTCAAGACACGATGCTAGATAGATATGTTCTATCGAATGTACGATTATATCGAGGTATGCTATAATTATAAATGATATGCACGGGTCGCTATTCTCATTTACATTGGCATTCCTGATCACAGCGGTGGAAAATTTTGTGAATCTTCCCCGATAACTTATGACAATTTTATACACTTTTATTTATATTATATAGTTGATAAATATAATATTTTAACTCCACATTGTGTTCGCGCTTATTGTATTAAGGAAAATATATGATCTTAGGGATGCGCGAATCGTATACAAGTTGAAAAAATATATATATTTTCCTTAATTGCTATCTCGATAATGAATCTAACAGTTTTAATTGTGGATTAATGTTCAGGAATGTGTGTCAAATCAATGCGCACATATACTAATTTGTAATATAATGTAATATCAAATGTTTATATACAATGTGTAGCTAAGTAATATAACCAATATATATTATTTCCAGATTATATATATATAATATTATATAATTCTTTTTATGTCAGTCATTTGTAAAATCTTTTATTATCCGTCATAAATGTAAATCTAACTCTGGCCTGTACTCAAAAGCCAAATTTCTGTTACAGAGTACTCTCTATTATGTTTTAAGAATAAAGTTATTTTAATATATAAGTGTGGATAAATGTTTTAGAAGAGCTTAAGGTCAATTAAAATGATAAGCTTGCCTTAAGACAATCCACACTCCATATTCCAATGTCTTTATTAATAAATCGATTAGTTCAACTATGCAGAATTGCTCGTGATTTCTTGTCTGCAATAATGACTAACCGGAGAGATATCCGCCTTATAAGTATAATACATGTTATTGTTAAAAATAAATATAAAACTTGCAATTTTAAATAATTTTAGAGGAAATTATATTACATGAAGAAAAAAAATCAATTTTGTGAATCTTTATAGTAATTTATTTTAATTTAAATAATTGCGACACACATTGAAATAATAGCTGTTTCGCCAATGTGATTCTGCATTGTTACACTGCTTCCAAGTAAATCGATTAATTAGCCATCCATATTGCCAAGGTCTGTCAAGGTATTGTAAGTATATACCTTATATAGATGCTGACCAAACTGTTTATTTCGTTATTATTATACCTTTTGTGTGAGGATAAAAGTCTCAAGTATTTAGAAGTGTAGATGTAGATCATAGAGTGTTACAAAGAATTTTGGCACAGTCTGATGCACCCTATTTTATTATAAATTTTATTTGATCGCAATTTTATAATATTTTTCAGAGTAAATCACACAATTGCGTTTACATGAATTTAAATTATAACATAAATATGCCATACATCGGTGCACCTGGCTGAGCATCCCGATCTTCGAAAGTAAAACTAAACAAAAGAAAGTAAACAATTTCTATTTTCCACTAGTTTGTGAATCTGTGCGTTTGGTGTTGCTTTTGAATGGAGGGATGTGTTGGAATAACAATAACAAAATAGTACCTTATATAAGAAAATATGCCGATAGTCACTTAATATTATACATGTTCTTAGATATTTATTAATATTTTTTTAAGTAGAACGCTCTTTAGTCCTTAGAATTAAATATTTCCATTATGAGAATAAAATGTATATATTATCTTTAATAACACAATTATTTCAGTATTGTACTATTGTCTAACACCGATGTATTTTATTACTTGCTAAATATACTGTATTGGGTGCCTTTTGTAGAGAATTCAAATCTTTTCAAAAAATTATTATCCCACATTATCTATTATATATATATATTTCTATTACTTCTAATAGTTTTGATCGATTATTGCATATGCATATCATATGCATATCTTATATAATAAAGTATTTATAAATAGTTTAACAATTTATAGTTTGGTCAATGTAAGGTGTTTTTATATTTTGTATTTTATATCTTAATTTAGTAAGTGTGAAAAAACAATATCTTTTAAAACAACCCAGTTCTATGTATTTAAAATGTAAAATATACAATTCTACAAAAGTTTAATTTTGTTAATTTAATCACTTTAAATGTACATAATACATATACATAATGTGTGTTAAGTTTCATTTAGACATGCAGCTATAATTATATTAATATTTGTAGGTAAGCAATTACAAGCAACTTTGAAGTCTTTTACAGAGTAAATCTTTAGTAATTTACAAGGCACGCGAAAGGCATACAAAAAGTTATCGCTTTATAAAAGAGATATGTGCTTATTCTTAATCTTATTTTGGCCATGTGTGGCTATATTTATTAAATTTATATATTGTTAAATATATAAATAAATATAAATAAATTTATAACATATTGCTAAATAGACTATACATATTCTAATTTACAATTCCAATTTGTAGATTCAATAAGATTTACTAGATAGACTAAATATTTTTTAAATATATAAAATTATAAATAGTAAAAGTGTTAAAAGATTTCTCTCAAAAAAATTCGTAAACCATGTAATTTTGTAAGATTACACAGAATGTATGTACAAATAAAAAAACATTTATTATAAATAGAAAAATGTGCAAATATCTCTTAGTAATTTAAAATTATATAACAGTACATTTTTTTGTATGTTTAAAACTGATCACATCACATGTTGACAAAGTCATATTCTGTCATGAATGTTTTTTATCTTCTTTAAAATTATCAGGACAAGAGGCAGATTTCTTCACACTTTGGAGATTAATGGCTGTATTTGCACATACTTCTTTTTGTGATTCTATCTGCTTATTCTTTAAAAATGATCCACCTGTAAAACCTAAAGAAAAATATCTATTATTTATTTTTTGTAATATCAAAAATTAAAATTTAATATTCTTTTAATTTTATATACTTACCTAAAATCCCACAGCTTAGAGCAGCAAGACCACCAATTTTCATTCCAGCTAATAAACCTATTGGTCCTCCGATACATGTACCTAACATAGCGCCTGCTATAGGGTACGCAGCGACTTTATATTTAGAGGCTATCTCTAGATGTCTTTTACCTTCATTCACATTTATTTGAGTTTCTTCAATATTTTCTTCCATATTGTCTACCATTTCTTTCTGATCCTGTTTGTGAAAAAAAATTATATCAATATATATATTTAATAAAACATATAGAATGCTCCTTCTTGTTTTTAAAAGCTGAAGGAAAAAATTAAGAGCTATTTTCTTAATTATGGTTTTATATTATATTACGTAAATGTCCAAATTGAAATTATATTCTTACATGTACAATTTTATTAAATTCAGCAAAGAGCTCATGTAATTGCTGTATTTCCTCTTGCAGACAATTCCAGACTTGTAGACATGTTTGCTGATGTTGTAAATCTTTTTCTTCTATTTGCAATTGAATATCATTATCATCGAATGGATATTCTGTTTCTTGATTTTCATTCTGCGACAATGTGGGTGACGATCTGGATGACAATGTGGATGCATTTAATTCCATCTCTGCAATTGACATTAATATCTATATTAATTCTTAGAATTGTATTGTTAATCAAAATTAAGAAAGAATATTGTACATTGTATTATGTTTCTCACCTAAATATTCCTCAATAGCGCGCATGATGCTAGACCGTGCATGTATTGTCAATTTATCAAATTTATCAATATCAATATCAAGAACTTGCGCTCTGAGAGTTTCCATTTGATATAATAACTCCTTCAACTGCTTAATAATACGAGAAACATTTATATGTTCTTTCCGTATCCGTTCCCAATCTTGTTGATTTTGATACTGCAAAAATACAATTTGCTTATATATATATATACATGTATATATTTAAAATATTTAATACAAAAAATTTTAAATTTACATATATGCATATTTACTTTTTTAATATTGTTCTTATGTCGCTTTAATAAATCTACATGGTGTGGAATAGCAACGTTGAAGTTATTAATTTGAATTTCCAGACGTCTTATGGGTTGCTTAATTGTAATATTCTCTGATAAGGCTGACATGGTTGACTTCTTGTTAATGTTGCTCGTTTATAATTCTACGTAATTTATATCTTTGTGATAAGAAAAAATCTTCTCTTAATCTCAAAGTTCACTCTTTATACATGTACCTAATTGTAAGTTTGACATAATCTTTCAAATTCTCAATCACAGAAGTTTCTTACGATAAATAAAATTAGTTACAACGAGATTGTTCACTAATGGCGTTTTATTACTTTATTTATACTGCCTCTGCCCAAAATAAATAATCAGCTGTTGAGGATAAACACGCAATACATACAACTCATTGTCAGCTCTAAGAAAATAGATGCTACTGCCATCTACAGTAGCAAAATCTTAAAAACTTCCCATAATAATTGATGATTTTATATCACATATATTACAAATAAAAAGAGTATGTGTGCACAGTTAATAAAATATATAATTAAATCCATATTAATCAATCCAAACAATATTCCTAAGTCACACATGTAGAAAAACAATATATAAAACGTGTTAAACGATGACTTTACCAGCAGTGTAGAATAAGTGGCTACGTAATTCTCAGTTTTAAAATAGATGGAGAAACGTGTATTAAATGAGATTTGTTATTTAAAATATATTAAAATTCTATTTTTTCAATATTATTTCTTATTTTTCTTATATAGTTTCTTATAGTTTTCAATCAACAAAATAAAAAATTAAATGTATTTTTCAACACTCTTTACTTTATATCTGGCACGTAACTATAAAAAAATTAATTTTTAATACAGAAAATGATAGTTTGTAGCTGTTTTTGCAACAATAATTTCGATTGTAACTAATTAAAAAAAATGTTGTCTTAACTGAATATACTACCTGATTTTAAGAATACCTCAAATCTGTTTGCGAAGTCCTTTTTAGAAACGTTTCTAGTTGTTTGTAGTAACAAATAATTTTGTCTGTTCGTTGTGTAAATTTCGTTCGTGTTTCATCGTTGTATAAATTTTAAAAAATTTGAAAATAATCAGCATTTGACTTTAATATTTCTCAAATTCAATTGCGCAGTCTTTCTTAGAATCGTTTGTAGATGTTTACAGTGAGTTTCGTTTCGTTTGTGCGGTTGCACGATTTAGAAATTACAATCTTTTAAAAAATTTGTCAAAATTGATTTTCGTCAAATTTAAACATTTTTTAAATCTGATTTTCTCTCAATATCAATTTCGATTTCGATTGCTGGAAATAACTTCAATTGAGTCTAAATTATGTGCGGAAAGAACAGATAAGAAAAATCTTTGAAACTGACATTTCACTATTGACCAATTTTTTAAACAATTGCATATTCAAAACCGTGCAATTAGAAACGAAATAAAACTCACGAGAAACAATTACAAATTATGATTCTAAAAAAAATTGTGCATGTGGATTTAAAATATCTCAAAGTGGCCACTTTTAAATTTTTTCGCTTTAAGATCGACATCGATCTATTTTTGCTTAAAAATATATTCAAAGTTATAGAAATGTCGCGCATTAAATTTTGTGAATGTGGCATCTGACTCAAAAAATTAATTTCTTAACACAAAAATGATAGTATTTCGTTCGCAGTTAATGTAAAAATAAAAAATTTTTTAAGTATGACCAGCGCTCGATTTTAAGATATTTCAAATAGGTTTTGATTGTCGGAATTGTCGGTTGTGAGTCATTTTTGTAATTTTTCTTATTTTTAAATGATAAAACTATTATACAAATTATTAAAAAGAAATTATACCTTCTAAATTAAACAAACTATAAGTAGAATCCTATTATTTTCGATATTAAAAAATTTATTTTTAAGTTGAATGGAAGTTTACATAGCTCCTTTGTGCTTATATTAATTTTAAAATTTTAAATCTTTTATAATTATTTCCACAAATCTGCATTGTATAATAGAAAATAAAAGAGCTGCAAATAATATAAATTACAATAAATAATAATAAATTATATAAATTATATAAAATATATCATGAAAGCAATTCATATATTAATTTACCACGCATTACTTTTAATTCATAATTAATTTTACATAATTTATTTTTACGAATTGAAGATTTGACGCGAGCAACACTTTCAAGTCACGAATTTCAATTCACCTTCCTTCATTTGGCATTTAACAAGTTACAGGCAATAATTGAGAATTTATGTATATGTATGTATTAAGAGGTGATCAATTATGCGTCATTCCGCAATTCCAATGCTCGTACGTCCGTGAGATCTCGATGAGTTTTACAAGGGTCGCCGCGAATGTACAATTTGGTATAAAGCTGGTGAAGGCTTTTGGTAATGAAAAACCGATTGCGACCAAATAGGCTCCGGGCTGCTGGTGACGTGTAATCGAGTCTTCTCTTCTGTCGCTTCGCCACCCACCCTCAACCCCTTTGTCTCCCTTCCTTCCATCCACGTCTCATCCTTCCTCTCTCCCTTGATTTCCCGTTCCCTATGCTTCTTCCTCTTCCCGTGATTTCTCTGGCTCCCATTAGTCGCTATACGTCGTCTGTATACAGAGATCCGTTTTGTTCTGCTTTTGCGTGACCTTTTATTTCAAACAACCGCATTCAAATTACCGTTATCTAAATACTCGATCTTTTGACTTTTTGCCACTGGACGTTTAGAAACGCTTTAAACATCATCTATATATTCTATTCGTCATTCTTGTTTATCTAAAACAAATGAGTAAAAAAATTTATTTTATTTATCTTGGTCTCTCTTTTATGTGATTTTATATTATGTATTGAGAAATGTTACACAACTTTATTGCTTTAAGAGTTTTTAAGTTTTTTAATTCTTAGATTAATTACACGCACATACACATGAGTGTAATATACATTGCTGAATCATTTAAGATTCTTTCATCATTTCTATTAATTTAAAGAAGCATTTATCATCTTGCTCATCAATCACATCGAATATATAAGACTATATTAAAATACAAGCAGATTTTTTTTATTAATTTCAATTCAGTATGAATTATAAAAAAAAAGTAAGTCGAAACATTAAATTGCTAGATATATGACTATTCAATTTATTATTACTACACTGATTATGAGTTGATTCGCGTATTTGGAATATGTGAAATTAATTATATCTGACATCCATGCCAGAATGATAATCACGCTTTGTCTCTTCTCCTCGTTAATTAGGAAGTCCAAATTTATAGTTTCTAAAGTGGAAGTTATAGATATAAATTCGGAAATAATTATTTAATAACAAAATCACGTTTCTAGTGTTCAAATGTTGGTTTCGAATAGTTAGAAATTATTTCCGAATTACTCTCTTTGTAATATAATATCTTATATTTAAAATATTAATAAAATATTTACATATCAAAATAAAGCTTTCATTTTTTCATTATTAGCAAAATACAATAGTATAAATATAATAAAATAATATAAATTTTAATCAACTTGAAGTTCTTTTATTTTCATAAATGTTATAAATAATATATCTTAGGAAATTTTTTGCCAAAAAAGTATTTATACAAAATATATTACTTTGTATTCAATGCCGGCTTATATTATTCATTACCTTGAAATCTATTCTTAATTAGGAAAATCTGTGCCGATTTGATTGCAGACGAACATATTGCATTTTAATAGACACTATTTCTTTTTTTATGTGAACAAAGCAGGCTTTGGCACATTTTCATTTTTTCCTTTACATTTTTACTTACTTTTTAATCCTCTAATTATATGCATAACATCTTATAATATAATTTATAAGGAATACAATTGAATGTGTAAGATATAATAGTATTAATAACAAGAATAATAATAATAGCAGTAAATTTATTATTTAATAATATTAATAATTATATAATAATAACAAAGAGATATATATTGAAATGTATGTTTTATAATTATTTTATACTGCCAGCAACAGTTTCACGAATAATTTAGTACAGCTACATGGTGAGGCGCTAATGGTGCTACATCCGACTGGAGAGTAATAGCCTATCCGAATTAATTCTCTCGCTTTTAGTAAAGTGAATTTTACTGCTGTCTTGCTCTCGAAGTCCAATTTTAGTAGTGTAACAGCGCCGTAATTAAACATTGATCGTTTAACTAATCTTTACCGCATATGCCGAATATCTTCTTCATACGGTAACATTTCACGAGTTCATGTTTGCACTTATTCAAATATTCCTCAGCGTATGTGCTAATATAGTTTTGCATCGTGTAAGCATTGTCGATATTGCGGTCGCTGAATCACATCCTGTTATATACACACACGTTACATCCAGACATATGTTACGAATTAATTAAATATAAATATCTTATAACAAAACATTCCGCGAAATACAGCCTCAGCAGCCTAACAATAATTTAGACTGTCTGCCATCATAAATTATCAATTTTGAAAATAATATTCAATTTTTTGGCGTAGAACTTTATATAGAATTTTGACAATGGCTTTACTATTTTGCTTCAAATGACAATATTGTAAAATTCAACATAGTAGTACGATTCATAATGTCATTTGTGATATTTGCATAAATTTTGTCATCCAAATTGAATTTTGCCTATTTGGAAATTATAAAATAATACGCTGATGGTTTCACAGTTTATGAAATTATTGATTGCAATGTCATCATATCGATTATTGCATTATGAGCATTATCTACATTATATAGTATCTCGTATTTTTTAATACTCGGATTAATTTTTTTATTATTGTCTTATTTATTATCTTGTTACCACATGGATAAACATCGATGAAATATTTCATAACATATTATTCGGCTGTAAATGACGTTGTGGCAGAAACATCTTTCTTCTTTCGCAATCATCGACAGATACGAATATTAACGAATGTTGTCGATGGCAGACTTCTCTTCGGAACAGTCTTTCGCATGACTTTTATAGATAGACAGGACGGTTTCAACCAATGTAAATTTAACGTCGCTTGCGACATAAAACTGATAGACGCCTATTGAATATAGGGATTGTGTTGGAAAAATGCATTGATACTTTATGCGGGCGTTATTGAAATATTGCTGTGAGAAGAAATATCGCCACATGCGCGTTCTGAATCTTTCTAATATTAAACGTGAGACTACCATGACTTACAAACTAATTTTTACCATGATTAAATATATTTATTAGTTAATAATATATATTTTTTATATCTGTTACAGAATTATTTTATCCAACAAAAGAAATTACAAAATTTTTTTTAATAGATCGTTGTGGACTTATCACTTTATCACATTTAACGCATACATCTTGTTAAAAATGTGTTTGACTATAACAATTAAAGATTAAAAAAAAATTGTTGGCGATAATTGTGGGGAATATAATTTAGATCTAAATGGCCAAAATATCAACAATACATT